ATATCCATTGGTTAATTAATATTTAATTCATTACAATAAGTTTCTAAACTATTAATAATTGTTATATTAATATCATCTGTAATTAATATTTCAGTTAATAATTATTGGATACTTTCTTTATTTGTATAACTTTCAATTGCAACCAAATTATTATTTTTCAAATTAGGTAGAATTTTTGTTTTATTCCAGCAATTGGTAATTGTTATTGTTGTTACATCATTTTATACTTCAGTAAGATATTCGATAGCTTCTTTAATATTAAGTTTATTTCTATAAATAATAAAAAATTTAATAAAAAATAATTAATAATAATAATTAAAATTTAAAACTTACTTTTCAATTTCAATTTGATTTTTTTATTATTAAATTATATGATAATAATAATGTTGCTTATATTTATTTTTAAAACTTTGAATAATTTCTATATCCAATAGTTGTAAATGAGTAGTAATGTTTGATAGCAAAAAAATAATTTTCAGATTTATTAATGATTATAAATTTGTGTTATATTATTATTATTTGATTTATTTGATAAAATATTATCATTGGGATTAAAATGAGATTCAATATTATCTATAAGAAATATACAATATCTTTTTTGAACTCAAAATTGATTATCAAGATAATATAATCAATCTTTAAAAATATTTCTATATATTCAAGCTTTTGGATTTGATTGATATATTACAGATAAAGTATTTATATTGATGCTATTAAATATACAAGGTTTTTCTGAATTGCCATTTACTAATGATTTAAATTTTTCAGTATTAGTAGCATTTGTTGCAAGAATTATAGTAATTCATATTTTATTCTAAATAAATTAATATTATTAATATAATAATAAATCAAAATTAAAATTAAAATTTTTTAATTTTTCTCTTTTTTTGTCCAGTTATAGAACCTGATACTAATGTTTAATTTGATAATATACAATAAAATAATACTGTTTTATCTGTATTAAATATATCTTGTAATTGAAATTTAAATAATTTTTGATATAAATGAATTCTTTTTTTAGGAAGTAAATTTAAAGATATACTATTTGCTTTACTACAAATTCTATAATTATGAATATTATTTCTTTTTTTGAATTTTTCTAACTATCCATTTGAAAATACTAAAGGTTCATTATTATTATTTAAAAATTATACAAAAAAATTAGTTTTTTTTTTAATTAATATTTTCAATATTATTAATCCTTATGCAATTGCTAATTTTAACCAAAGTTTTAAAGTATTATTTAATAAAAAATAACAAACTTCAAAATATCTAAATACCTTACTATTAATTTGAATATCATCTATCATAAGCTATCTTTCTTTTTGTGAATAAATTTTTGAAATTGTTATTCTATTAATATTTAAACCTTTTGTTTTTGAATTAAAATATTTTGCTATTTTGTTTTAAGATATATGTTTATATTTATTTATATATAAATATATATATTTTTTTAAATTATCACTAATGGTCATTTTTGTTCTTTTATTAGATAACATTATAACAAAAGAAAAAAAAATTTTTTTTGTTATATTTACAGTGGTAGCTATAAATAATGGAAATTGTAAATTTATTTTTATTTATTTAAAAAAAAATATTTATTACATAAAAAAAAAAATCAACTAAATTATTGTACTAACTAATATTTTTTTTTAGTAATTTATTTTATGCCCATTTTTGGTCACCAGCTCTTCCAAACGATGAGGTATGCTTTTAACTAATTCAATCAATATGCTTTTTTTAAGACCCATCCATTCTGATCTAATTAATTCTTTAAACTCAGTAGATGTAATAGATTTTTTTTTCCCGCACCTTTTTATTAACTTTTTTTTGACTTTTTTTTTAAAATCGTCTACAGATTTTCAATAGAGTTAAGATCTGGTAAGTTTGATAGCCAGTCTAAAATCCATATATAAGAATCAATCAGAAATTGCTTTGTTACCTTTGCCATGTACTTAAAGTCATTATCCTGTTGGAGAATCCAATTACAACCTATTACAGTCTATATATTAGCAAGATTATTTACGAGAATTTGACGGTAGAACTTCCCATCCATATTTTGAGTAAATACATGAAAACCAACAGTATCTCTCATTGAAAATGCACTCCACATATAAACCTTGTATGGGTGCTTAACCATAGGACATTGTGGCCATTCTGTATCAGCCATATAATGAACTTGGGTCATATTACAAAACATCTGGAAGGTAGATTTGTCAGAAAAAATGACTCAGTTCCATTTTTGATTAATATGAGCTTCAGCCCATTCTAAGTGACAATTTTTGTGTTCTTCGGTAAGAAGAGGAATTTGTTTAGTGATTGTAACTATCCACCCATGGTTTGCAAGCACCCTGTTGATGGTTCTTACTGATATTTTTAGGTCTGGATTACTGGCGTTCAATTTAGACACAAGTTCTTTAGCAGAAATTTCTAGATTTTTTTTTACGAGTTTATTAAAATTTTTGAGTTTCTTGGGAGATAACTTGGGAGATCGTCCTAAATAAGGTAGAGGGTTTAAATTATCATTTTTTTTAATTTTTTTATATAATTATATACGGTCATCTTAGGAAAACCAGTTTTTTTATTAGAGAGATAGGGTTTCATTCATTGGTATGCTATAGCACTTGGATAATACTTCTTTGATAAGTAAGAAAACTATCATCTATTTCTAATGATGATCTTACTGTTATAGAAATATGCAATATACAAAAAAAAATTATTTTTATAAATAAGGAGATGTAAGCTAAAAAAAAAAAAAATTATAGTGATGCAAATTAATATTCATGACACAAAAAATCTTTAAAATTAGAAAATTAAAATTTCTATTATTTATGATCAGCATTGTATATATAATATAAATTATGTGCTTATTAAGAGGTATTTTAGTATTATAAAATAATAAATTAAATTATAAAATATGTAATAGTAATTATAATTAATATGTAATTTACTAGAAAAAAAATTAATAATAAAATAAATGGAAAAGTATATACAGTATATGTGTTATAAAAGAGATATGAATTAAAAAAGGATAATATAAGAGATATATGACTATATATAATTATATATATTTTAAATCAATATAAATATATAATTTAATAGATTTAAAAGTAATACTGTATATAATATATATATATAATTCTAAGATTTGATAAAACAATAAATATTTATTAATAATTTAATATTTTAATTAAGTTATTTTTATTATAAAAACTCTTAAAATGAAATGTTTCTGAAGTTTTTTATAATAATAAATTTTTAAAATTATTTATACTATAAAAAATAAAAAATATCTGAAGATTTTAAAGAATTTTTTTAAAAAAAAATTTCTAATACAGTTGCCATATAATTTCAAAAGTTTAAGCAACAATAATATATTATTTTTATTATTAAAATAGTTATTTATAAATAAGTATAAACTAATTATATACTATTTTAATATAATATAATCTACCTGATATAATTATATCAAGTTTTATATACAATAGGCTAATATTAACTTTAATAAATACTTAATATAATAACAAGATTAAATTTAAATCAATAAAAGTCTTGCATTTTATATTTATTTGTAGTATTAAAAAAAATTTTTTTAATTATTATTTTTAATTTATTTTTTATAAAAAACATTTACAATATAAGCTAATTATTTAATTAAATAGTTTAAATAAAATAAAAATTTTTTTTTAAAAATATTACAAAAAATCATAAGTGTTTTTTAATTAGAAAATATTAACAAATAATTTATAATAATTTATAAAGTTCGTACGTACTGTATATTATTTTAATTATATAATATACAGTATATAAAAATTTTTATTTTAAATTAATTAATTAATTAATAAGATATAAGTAATAAATAAAACAATGATAACAGTAATGAATTATATTATTCGTTCATTATAATAAATGCATTAAAATAATTTTATATGATTAGAGTACTTTTCAAGAGTTTATTTTTTTTTTAAAAAAAATTGATCATCGAGATTACCTTCTGTGCGATTGTATAACGATAACGTTATATGCAGATTAGAATTATTAATTTTAGTATATGGATTATCGAATTCAAGTAAAAAATTTCATATGAAAATTGTAGACCAGCAATGACATCCCCGTAGGATGAATCTTTATATATTAAAATAAATATGTACTCTGTGTTTCCATATGTACGAAAGAATGTCAAATTTTCAAGTCTGCCAAGAATTTTAATTCTAAGTTTAATGCCATGTTGTTGTTGAAGCATATTCCAGTTAGTCCGTTTTAAGGCATAATTCGCTAATGAAATATCATTTAGTCCCCGAATATTTGTTTGTCTTACTCATGGATCTCTCCTTTTAAATTTTCATATTTGATTTTCTGACTATTTTAGTATAACACTTTTGCACGTGTGCGTACGTAGACCTTCCTATATTATATTAAAAACGGACCTTTGCGAAAAATTGTTTTCTTGTCCAAATTCTCATTTCCATTTCTCGAAATTTTCTTTCTTCATGTATTATTAACCCTCTCTATAATGGTAGTTTTCATTTGCTCTCGCTTTGATTGAACATTTGACGTTTCTATATAGCTGTCGAGACATAAGTGGAATGAAAAGTGTTTCAACAGAAATAACATTGCATTCGAAAACTACCTACACGCAAAAGAAAATCCAACTATTCAGTGATCTTTTGGTTCCTCACAATTTCCCTTCGAAACAGAGAAGAGTGAGAGTTATATAATCAAGAAAGAATCTTTTGGGAATCAAAGAGAAATCAACTCTCATTATTGCTTAATATAACGAAACGTCACGCATCACGATTTTCTATTTACCTAACGGCAAGAAGTGGGGTTCGATCGGACTGGAATCCGATTTACAATAAAAACCGATTCTCTCAATACTGCATCAGCGAGAAATTGGTTCACCTTCTTTTTATCATAATTATACCTATCCTTTCCGACACGCATGAATTTGCTTTACACTCAACCAAGACCATTCTTTTAAACGTGAAAGTCAAAAAAAAATGACGGCAAGTTGGGAAAGTGTCAGTAGTCAGCAGATTGATATTGGCATTACCGATGAACAACGAGAAAAGCTAAAAAAACGATGGAATGAAAATTCGTTTTTGCATAAATTAAAGTAATTATTGGATTATAATAATTGGATATCATTATTGAACTTGGTTTTTGTTAATCTGTTCCTTTTTTTAAATTTTAGACAAGGCCCTTTTGCATCCACCCTATATGCAAGTGCGTATAATATTTGAATTTTTGAATTTTTGTGTTGCCCTGAAAAATTTTTTAATTTTCCATTGATAACTTTTCATCAGTGACTTTATATCCGCGCGTGTTCTTTGAACACTACATTTCCAAAAAATCTCGCCATCCCTCGCTCACCGTCTAC